TCCCACTTAGCATACCTTATACTAAACGTCCCTCAACACTTTCCTCTTTTGACCTTGCTACTACTGAAGAGGTCACTAAGGTTTTCTCAGAAGCCCGTCTCACTACCTGCCCCCTGGATCCTGTCCCCTGACAACTACTACGGTCACCCTCTTCTTCCGTCCTGTGCTCCCTCTCTCACATCTTCAATCTTTCCCTCTCTACTGGTGCCGTCCCCTCCCCTCCCCTCTAAAGCATGTGCACATCACTCCCATTCTTAAAAAGCCCTCCCTTGACCCCACCAACCTGAACAATTTAAGACCCATCTCCCTGCTGCCATTTACCTCTAAACTTCTAGAACGCTTAGTCTATAACCGCCTGAGCTCCCACCTCACCGACAACAACCTTCTTGACCCTTTACAGTCTGGCTTTCGCTCACTACACTCCACTGAAACTGCCCTACTAAAACTCACTAATGATCTACTAACAGCTAAAACCAATGGCCACTACTCCGTACTCTTACTACTTGACCTCTCTGCGGCTTTTGATACGGTTGACCATCCCCTCCTCCTCCTCAAAAAACTCCACTCTCTTGGTCTCAGAGACTCTGCTCTCTCCTGGTTCTCCTACCTATCGCAGCGCTCCTTCAGCGCTACCTATAACGCTGCCCCCTCCTCTTCGCTTCCTCTTTCTGTAGGGGTCCCTCAAGGTTCTGTCCTTGGACCCCTTCTCTTCTCCATCTACACCTCCTCCCTTGGTCACTTGATAAACTCCCATGGCTTTAAGTACCATCTCTATGCTGATGACACACAAATCTATCTTTCTACCCCTCATCTCACCCCTTCAGTCTCCTCTCGCATTACTAGCCTACTAAGCCACATATCGGCATGGATGTCACTCCACTTCCTCAAACTCAATCTTTCCAAAACTGAGCTCATAGTATTCCCCCCTGCCCATGCCCCCTCCTCTGACTTCTCCATCAAGATCAATAACACAATCATCAGTCCCTCGCCTAATGCCAGGGTACTAGGTGTAATCTTAGACTCCCATCTGTCCTTTCACCCCCAAATCCAATCACTGTCCAAATCTTGTAGACTTCACCTCCGCAACATCTACAAGATACGCCCGTTCCTAACCACAGAAACCACTAAGCAACTTATTCACTCCCTTATTATAGCTCGCCTTGACTATTGCAACTCCCTCCTCATTGGCCTACCGAATCGCAGGCTATCCCCTCTTCAGTCTATCATGAATGCTGCTGCCAGACTTATCCACCTTACTAACCGTTCTGTATCTGCCACCCCTCTCTGCCAATCCCTCCACTGGCTTCCCATTGCCCAACAAATAAAATTCAAAACACTAACAATAATGTATAAAGCCATTTATAACTCTGCCCCAAATTACATCAATGGTCTTGTCTCTAAATATCACCCAATCCGTACTCTCCGCTCCTCGTAAGACCTCCTGCTCTCTAGCTCCCTTGTCTCCTCTTCCCATGCTCGTCTCCAGGACTTTTCCAGCACTTCCCCCATCCTCTGGAACTCTCTACCCCAATTTATCAGACTATCTCCTACACTGCTCACTTTTAGGCGATCTCGGAAAACCTATCTCTTCAGGGAAGCCTATCCTGCCCTCAGCTAATAATGGAATCTTCTACTCTTCCTACCAGTCCATGCCCCACAGTTACTAGCTTTTGTACCACTAGCCCCTCCCTCCTAGATTGTAAGCTCCAAGGAGCAGGGCCCTCCTTTCCCACTTGTGTTGAACTGTATTGTCTCCCGTTACATTGTAAAGCGCTGAGCAAACTGTTGTCGCTATATAAATCCTGTATAATAATAATAATAATAATAATAATAAGAAGAAGAAGAAGAAGAAGAAGAAGCTTTTTCTCCCACTAAGACATAACAACAAGGGCCCTATCTTTAAAAATATATTGAAACACCCCCAGAAATTGCACTATTTTGAACAAGAAAACAGTCTGAAGGCATGTTTTCAATATTTGCAATTAAATAGTTTTATATTAGGGTTACAGAAAATTAAAGAAAACAAAAAAAAAAGAAAACATGTTTTGTCCATAATCCTGTGTATGTTATTAGCAGGTAATGATGCTACAACATACTTTATACTACTGCTTCAATACATGAGAACATCATATATAAGTATGTCTTATTCACTTGGTGGGAACTTGGCAGGACCCCAAAACAAAAGGGAGCGCATTCTGTCTCTCAATGGCTGAAAACTGCCATGTCATTTTTTGGCACAGAATTGCATTTACAATGGCTCAGGAGTGGCAGGATCCCAGAAATTAAACTAAACTCAAGGTTTTTGGCAGAGGTAAAACTTTGACTTTGAACCCTACATTTTCAGAATGCACTTGGCAGCAAACTTAGGAAAATAAATTAAATACATAATTTTCAGCAAAGCCATACATTGTAAATTCATGGGTTTCACAAACACAATGATGGCATGATAAAAAATTACTTCCACCAATTTGCTCAGCTAGCTCTCCTGTGCACAAGGATACCATATAGGCATAGGCCTTGGTTACTTGTTGGGAACATGGTAGTGCCAAGATGGCTGAAAATGGTATGGTGCAGAAATGGCAGGACCCTGTTTCAGCGAAGTTTCAGTAAAACTAAATTATATTTTATATTTTTTGGATAAATAAGGCTTTAATTTTGTAGCAAATCTGACAACGTATTTTATTTCTTCTTTAGTATTTTTTGAGAATACATTGTAAAAAAAATTAGAAAAAAAATAGCATTTTCCTGTAATTTTTCCCCAGCACAATATTTACATAACTGCACATCCTCATACATTTACTAAAAAAACATAATCAACAAAGTCTGCTAATTAAAATTATGTCACATTACTGCATCTTTCATGTAATGCAGCAAAATGGTAACGTGAACATATGTAAATCATCCTAAGTCCCAGATCATTTTTCTGTTTTGGTGATCTCTACGTATTATACATTCCAGGTCAGATAAAGCAATAATTTCTGTAGCAAATGTGAATACATATATCTTTATTTCCTTGGGTTTTATTGAGAATAAATAGTAAAAAATTTAGAAAAATGTATTTTCCTGTAATTTTTCCCAATGCATTTATGTAATTTGTGCACCCTCATAAATTTATCCCAAAGTATAATGAATAAGTCTGATGATTAACATGATAATATGATATATATTAGTGTGACTTTTATGTAATGTAGTGGAATGGAAAAGCTCAAAGTGACCGCCTACATTTTACTTTCGGAGAGTGTTGTTTGCCTTTCAATACTACATTGCGACACATGCAGAGTTAAAAAATAAATGTGTAAATTGTTAGTGTAACATTATGATAACATTAACTTGGGTTGATAAGGGCGTTATTCTGAGGAGGGAATATTTTTCATTGGCCTCATGCAATAATTTATTTGTATATTTCTTACACTATTGTTTACCATTTGTTTTTGCCTTTTTTTTTAACATTCACTTTATTTTTCTTCTTGGGGGTTCTGGAGTTAGTGCTGGATGGCGGCTATCAAAAATAGCTGGCGTTTCCAGTGCTTACCCCTGCCAGGAACCACAGGAGCTTCTAATCCTCATGGCCATTTTAAAACAGCACAAAGAGATGCTCTCCTGATGGCATTTTAAAACAGCGCTGGGGACTCATATGGCTAAACATGTTGACTAAGCTGTATTTTGAAGACTCACACCAGTCATTTTTAAAGAAGAAACTAATCAAGAAATTAATATTGGAATGTATTTATTTAACTTAAAAAAAAAAGCCCCCAATATACTGTAGTAACTGCACACACAGGGTATTAAAATACTTTGACTGCATTTTGAATAGGCCATTCAAATCAAGAAATAACTTTAGCATATTTCACTGAAAAAGCTGCCAAGACATTGAAACATTGTAGTAACTACATGTACAGTATTTAAACACTTTAACTAGGTTGTATTTCAACCAGGACACATACCAGCCATTTTAACCACTTGCCTAGCAGGCATTGCGACACATGCAGAGTTAAAAAATAAATGTGTAAATTGTTAGTGTAACATTATGATAACATTAACTTGGGTTGATAAGGGCGTTATTCTGAGGAGGGAATATTTTTCATTGGCCTCATGCAATAATTTATTTGTATATTTCTTACACTATTGTTTACCATTTTGTTTTGCCTTTTTTTTTAACATTCACTTTATTTTTCTTCTTGGGGGTTCTGGAGTTAGTGCTGGATGGCGGCTATCAAAAATAGCTGGCGTTTCCAGTGCTTACCCCTGCCAGGAACCACAGGAGCTTCTAATCCTCATGGCCATTTTAAAACAGCACAAAGAGATGCTCTCCTGATGGCATTTTAAAACAGCGCTGGGGACTCATATGGCTAAACATGTTGACTAAGCTGTATTTTGAAGACTCACACCAGTCATTTTTAAAAGAAGAAACTAATCAAGAAATTAATATTGGAATGTATTTATTTAACTTAAAAAAAAAGCCCCCAATATACTGTAGTAACTGCACACAGGGTATTAAAATACTTTGACTGCATTTTGAATAGGCCATTCAAATCAAGAAATAACTTTAGCATATTTCACTGAAAAAGCTGCCAAGACATTGAAACATTGTAGTAACTACATGTACAGTATTTAAACACTTTAACTAGGTTGTATTTCAACCAGGACACATACCAGCCATTTTAACCACTTGCCTAGCAGGCATTTATACCCCCTTCCTGCCCAGACCAATTTTCAGCTTCCAGCTCTGTCATACTTTGAATGAAAATTGCGCAGTCATGCAACGCTGTACCCATATGAAATTTGTATAATTTTTTTGAGACAGATAGAGCTTTCTTTTGGTGGTATTTAATCCCCTTAAGTTTTTTATTTTTTTTTGCTAAACAAACCAAAAACAACTGAAAATTTAGGATAAAAAAGTATTTTTTTAGTTTTTGTTATAAAATTTAGTAAATAAGTGATTTTTCTCCTTCACTGATGTGCGCTAATGAGGCCGCAGTGATGGGCACTGATAGACTGCACTGATGGGCACTGATAGGTGGCACTGATGGGCATTGACAGGCATCACTGATGGGCACTGAAAAGCAGCACTCATATATTGTACTGATAGGTGGAACTGATAGGCGGCACTGACTGGCACTCATAGGCAGCACTGACTGGCACTGATAGGCGGAACTGACTGGCACGGTTAGGCGGCATTGATAGGCAGCACTGACGGGCACTGATAGGGTGCACGGATGCGCACTGATAGGCGGCACTGACTGGCACTGATAGATGGCACTGACTGGCACTGATAGGTGGCACTGAGTGGCAGCACTGATAAGTGGCACTGACTGGCATTGATAGGTGGCACTGACTGGCACTGATAATTGACACTGAAAGGCAGCTCAGATGCGCACTGATATGTGGCATTGGTGTGCACTGGTAGGCACTGATGTGTGGCATTGATGTGGCACTGATGGGCACTGGCAGGTGGCATTGATGAGCACTGACAGCTGGCATTGATGTACACTGACAGGTGGCATTGGTGGGGCTAAACTGATCATCAGGGCACACTGATCATCAGTGCCCTGATGATCAGTGTACATGTCCCCTCTGAGGGATGCCGATTACGTGAGGAGAGAAATTCCGATAATCGGCATTTCCCTATTTACATGCGATCAGTTGTGATTGGACACAGCTGATCACATGACCGAGCCGACATCTTCAGCTTTGTCCGTTGATCAGTGATCTGCTGTGTCCCAGGGACAGCGCACCACCGATCGCCGCGCTGTTAGAGTGGGAGGACGTCATATGACGTCCTCCCAGAACGAGAGAACTGCCTTGTGCCCGTCATTTCCTTATATGGCGGGGCGGGAGGCAGTTAAAGCACTAATTAAAGATATTAATATTAGAGTATACTTACAGTATTTCCCTGTAATTTCCCCAATATATTGTAATGACTATGTGCACTGTGTTAAAACACTTTGACTAGGCCCCATTTTAAACAAGACCCACACCAACCATTTTTTTAATCAAGAAATAAACATTAGAGTGTAATTGTTTTGAACAAAAGCCCTCAAAATGTTGTAGTGGATGGATCTAAGACTTACATTGTAACTGAACCACTTGCAGGTGGTCAGCTCAGTCAGGCCTCATGCACACTGCAGCTGTCAAACATCCATTTTACAGGTGTTGACATTTTATTTTCTGCCTCTAAATGCCCCTCTATGTTAGTCTATGTGTCCATGCACATATATACATATGGAATTTATAGGCATTTAGAGGGAGGAGTGTTTAGAGGCAGAAATCTGAAAGCACCAAAATCACATTTAGGATAGAAGAATTTGAGCAAAAAAATATACCTGATGCACTTAAATGCGTTCAAATGCACCTAAACGCGTCCAAAAATGCTAGGCGCAATTAAAGCTTGAACATTCACTCATTTCAATGGCCAGAATAAATGAATATGTCAATTGCATTCCTTTTGCTAAAGGCTCATGCCTCTCTGACCCCTTCAGTACCACCCCTAACTATCATAAATTCTAGACAAAAGCATAAACCTCTAATTGTAGTATCAAAAGACCATTTATGATTAAATAAGGAGGGGGCTCACAATTAGCCACTCCTCACATTATGTAGGAAGATAACAGGTACATCTATAGATGTAGAATCCTTGCAGGCAAGAAATTCTCAGCGCGAGCCCTCCTGCATGACCAGGAAAGGAGTATCACCTAATCCCTGTGTAGATGGTGGAAGCTGGAAGCTCTAGCAGATGGTGGAATGCAGCTTGGACCACAGAGCCTAGACCGGAAGTTGCCGTGGGCTGAAAATTATGCTTTTCTGTAATTTCTGGATGATGCTTTTCTTTCATTTCCAGCCCACAATGACTTCTGATGGTCTAAGTGGACTATCATTCCCCACCCTTCTTCCTTCATGGATTTTACACACAGACTTTTAGCTGTTATATGTCAGTGTCAGTGACTGTTTCTTATTTGACGCATTCTGTGTTGTTTTTCTACTATCATACATGGGCTGCCTCTTTAATGAAGTCAGTGATGGTAGAGCAATTCCATCTTGCTCTAATGAACTAGCTCCCTGGAATAGCCTTGATTACATGTGGAGAGAGGCAACAAGATGCATGTAACAGTCAGTTTTTGGAAGTTGGTTTCCTGTAAGAATGGGCTGTTACCAAATGGTCATGAGTGGATCCCATCAAGATTATGTCCAGATAGTTAACCTCAATTGGCTATACTTCACCAGTGAACCATAAATAAAATGGGTTATCATTGAGATAGGCTAAAAACTCCGCCAGTTGTAAATCACGGTTTGCAATGAAAATGAGGTTGTCAATATAGCGAAAAATTGCTATTATTGTGTCTCTGTAGGGGATATGGTTATTGTAAATATATTGTTATTCCCACCACCCCATATATAGATTTGCATAAGAGGGTGAAAATCTTGCCCTGATAAAGGTCCCCTGTTTTTGAATGTACCATTCTCCAATACAAAGGAAATAATTAGGATGTAAAATAGAAAAGACTTCCACAAGAATTAACCACTTTAATTTCGGTGGAAAGTTGGTGTACATATCCATGTGATGTTCAAGTGACCTGACACCCAAAGTGTGAAGAATGCTTGAGTAAAATTATTAAACATCACAAACAAACCACTTTTGTTTATCACTCAAGGGGAATCCTTTTAATCGTTGTATTATATGTTTAGTGTATGTAGATGAGAAGGCATTTTTCACTAATAGTTGAAGAAGTGTATCCAGTAGATTACCTAGGGGTTCACCCAAAGAACCTATGCTGGTGACCATAGCTCTCCCTTGAATGGGGATGTCTGGCTATGTGTCCTGAGGAAGTGGTGAAATATAGGTGTAACAGGGTGGGAAGGAATTAATTTTTTCATTTCAGTCAAGTCGAGAATCCACACAGAGAAGGTCCCCTGGAAGATATGTTTGTTCTAATTTTAATTTAAATTTCTAGGTTGGGTCTGTCCGAAACTGCATGTAGGTTTCTGTATCATATAGCTTACGTAGAGCTTCTTCACAATAATCATTTGAATCTAATATGACCTCAACTCTTTCTTTGTCAGCTTACTTTATTACAATATTGGAATCTTCCCTAAGCAATTTCAAAGCAGTTCTAGCTCTATGGTCTTTGCTAAAGTGGTAGGGTTTTGCTCAACCAACTTTTGGAAGAGGTCAAGTTGTTTCCCTCTAGACTGTACAAAAGTCTGATTTTGAACTGGGGGAGACATAGAGGCAATCTGGTGGTATTATCGTTTCTCCAGTCTGGATATCAGAATTTGAGTGTCCATTGTACTGAAATCGTGTAACAAACAAAAATCCTTAAAATCTACACCATTAAAACATTCCAACTGTGAATCTGTGATTGAAGGTGAAAGTGATTGAAGGTGTAAGTAATGTTTTCTAAGCTTGAGGCGGCAAGCAAAATTGTTGATATCTATTATTGTAGAGAAAAGATCAAGATTATTAACCAGTTCAAAATTGAGCCCCCAAGACAGGGCACTGTGAGCTTAAGGTGACAAGGCATGAGTTGAAAAGTTCAAAACATTTGTGGTGGTGGATGATTGACTGCTCCTGGACTGGGATAATTTTTTTGCCTCTTCTTAATCTTTGTTTTCTTCTTTGTTGATTCTTGTGTCACCCCCCCCCCCCCCCCCCCCCGTCTTCCCTTGGGTTTTTTTTTTTTTACTTTTTTGAATGGCTAGAGTCATCATCCAAAAACGTGTATTTCAGCTTGCATTTTCTATCGTTAATGCTTGTTGATGACATGGAAGTTGAGTGAGCAGAAGTTTCCCCCTCTGTATTGGAAAAAGCTGACATGTTTCCGCAGTTTCAGAGTTGGTTCTGGCCAGCTCAGTGGATTGCTTCAAAAAAGGCCTGGATTCTTTCTTAGATACACAGAATATAACTGGATATTAACATTTATAGGTAAAGTTGATCCAGGGAATATCCGATTGCCTCTCGGGGGATCAGGAAGGAATTTTTTTCCCAGCAGGAACAAATTGGATCATGCTTTGCTGGGTTTTTGCCTTCCTCTGGATCAACTGTGGGTATAGGATTATAACTTTTTTTTTTTTTATTAATGGTTGAACTGGATGGACTTTTGTCTTTTTTCAGCCCGAATAACTATGTAACTATGCTGGTGGATGTGGATGGTGTTCTTAGTATAGAATGTTTAGATCTACCATACCTATATCTTTTGTCATGTCAATTAAAGTTCTTTCACCTATCAAGAATCACCTTTCAAAAATGTAGCTCTTTTTGTCTGTACAATCTCTTCCTCAAGGTCACCTGTTACTTGCTAATTAATCACCACAATGGCTCATGATGCAATATATACTCTTCCTACCACAGTGACAGCTTTACCTGCATGACTAAGCCCCATGAGTGGGGTAAAACATGTCGAAGACATGGCCTGGATGGAGTTAGACTGAAGCTGCTATCATCTATCACACACTGGACTTGTATGGTGTCCTGTGGCTGAAATTTTTTTTCCTTGTTCTGTGAATGAAAAATTCTAGCTTACCTGGCCACACTCCAGCAGCACCACTGCTATTCACACTGGTTTCCCAGACAATAGGTTCTTCAGGCTATGCTTGCAGCACCTCACTGCACTGGCCCACTCCTGGCCTCTTGATAGAGTTTTCTTAGCACTTGAGACATACAGATTCCCCCTCCTGGACTCCCTAGTTGCCTCAGCTCTCTTGATTCTCTGCTGACTCATTTAGCTGTCCCAGCTCTCCTAGTCCTGTGGATAACAGAATATCTCAAACATGAAGTCTTGTCTCCAAAGTAGGTCAGCTCTCCTGCCTGGAACACTCCTCTATCCTCATGCAAAGGCTCTATCTCTGAATGGCAGCAACTGCCCTGAGTTGTCATCAGGCCTTCATTATAAGGGATGTGTGCACCTGGACACAGGTTGGAGATTTCTTCTCTTCCAAGACACTTTGAAATCTCCAAACTATGGAATCCATACAGGGAATAATTAAATCCAGAGAAAGTTGTAAAAACCCACTCAAATTCAATACTCACACACTTGTGGACCCTGTGATGTCACTGTGGACCAACAAATCTGTTAAGGACTTTGTATTTCTATATAGGATTTGTAGTTTGACTGACATCACCTTGCCAACTGATTGGTCACTTAAAAAAAGATAACAATAGGTGGTACAAACATCCTTAATTCTACTGGCCAGTTCTGCATATTGGAAGCATAGGCAAATAAATACTATTTCCTGACAGACTCCATGGCACCATATGTATAGGTTAGCTCTGTCCTCTTCTCTCCCATACATTGTCACTCCTCATCCGTGTTCCTTTTTTGTACTCCTGCTGTGGACCGTTGCCAGTCTTACCTTGTTCCCGTATACAAGATGTTAGCTTCCCGATCAAGGCCTGGCGAGGCTCTCCGGGAGAAGTGAGGTGACACACCGCTTGTTGGTTCCAGGGGTCCCCAGCTAATAGCAGGGTAAGGGATGAGGCGGATGGTGGAGTTGTGCAGATGTGTCCCTCATCAGTTCCAGTATTCCCCAGCT